GTGGTGGAGAGTGCTGCCCGGTCCCTGCATCCTCTCGCGCTCTCAGACACCCTCAGCGTCTTCTAGAACATATCCCTGCAGCTCCGTTCAGGCCTGCCGTTAAACAACCTGGGTTCGGTAATGTCGCAAGCCGACCAGCCTAGCGCGGCTGTTTCGCCACCGCTCCCACCGCCAAGAAACCCTTCTCACCTGGTCACCAGCCCTCAAAAGGATCCTTTGCTGTTCGCAGGGCTTCCGGGTGAGGACGTTGAAGACTGGCTCGAGGAGTATGACCGCGTGAGTGCCATCAACAATTGGAATGAGCCTGCGAAACTCACTCACACTCACGTTGCATTCTACTTGAGCGGTGTCGCAAAGACGTGGTTTTTCAACCACGCTACAGATTTTCCGACATGGCCCGCCTTTACACATCACCTCCGCCAGATTTTCGCCAACCCGTCAGTGCGCTCGGATATTGCCAAGGAGAGGCTTGGTGCACGTGTTCAACACCCCGGTGAGTCTTGCACTTCTTACATTGAAGATGTTCTCGCCCTCTGCCGCCGCATCGACAACTATATGACGGAAAACAACCGTGTGCACCACCTGCTCAAAGGCATTGCGACAGTCGCTTTTAATGTGCTTGTGGTGCAGAACCCCCAGACCGTAGCCGATGTTGTTGCTACCTGCCAGTGCCTTGAGGAGCTTCAGACCACTCGGGTGCAACCTGATATGTCTGATCTGAGCTCGAGCCATGACACAACAGAGCTGCGTGCATTGATCCGCTCTATCATCCGCGAGGAACTTCATGCACAGGCTTCACCTCGCCACCTTGATATTCAAATGGCGCCACCTGCTACTAGTCTACGCGACGTCGTGAAGGAGGAACTGGCCTTGATGACTGGCACACCAGTTCCGAGCTCACATCCCGTGTCCATGCCAAGTTATGCTCACGTTGCTGCAATGACACCTGCGCCCCACCAAAGCCTGGCCTCGATGACTGACTGACACACTTGTTCCGAGCTCACATCCTGTGTCTATGCCTACTTATGCTCAGGTTGCTGCTATGACACCTGCACCCCAGCAAAGCCAATGCAGCTACGAGCGCCTGGAGTGCATGGTTCACTTAACTCACTCGCACCGCGAGCATCTGCCCAGCCTTACAACGCCTGGCGCACTACGCGGCCGGCTTGCTTTTATTGCAGCATCCGTGGTCATATTTCAAGGTTCTGCCAACGCCGTCAGCAAGACGAAAGACGAAGCTTTGATGACTCTGAAGGGGACGATTTCTACACCACTGGACCGCCCTATCACCTTCAAGTCCCTATTCAGCCTTTAAGTGTTTGTACAGTCCGCGTTTTCATAGATGGCATCCTTCACCACGTTCAGTTTCTTGTACTTTCTTTGTGCACTCACGCACTCATTTTAGGATGGGACTTCCTTTCTCCGGCATCAGCTTTCATATCGTGTCGTCAGCGAGTAATTCATATGTCAGCTACTGAAAGTTCATCCGATGTCGATCCATACAGCTTCCGTTTCGTTGCTGCCGCTGATTGTTTCATTTCGCCAGGAGATGAACAAGTATTCACGATCGCTTCGGATGCTATAGATACCGGTGACATGTTCATAGCTTCATCAGTTTGCTCCAAACCTGCCGGGCTTTTCATCGCACCCGGCCTTGTGCGGTTTAACGATGGTAAAGCATTGGTTACCGCCTTGAACCCAACTTCTTCACCAGTGATGCTGCCCTAGGGCACTGCTGTGAGCTGCTTCGCTGACAGCGAACCTTTTTCGCTGGTTCCCCTTCATGCAGAATCAGCGTGTTTGTCTGCTTCAACTGATACCAAGGCTACCACTCTTGAATTAAATGCTACCTTAAGTCCTCACCTCACTGCCGAGCAAAAGAGAGACCTCCTAGACCTCCAAAAGCACAGCCTTTCGTTTGACGTACATTCCATGGTTCTGGGCCGCACTTCCGTTGCAGAGCACAGCATCGAAACCGAAGGCAGCGCCATTGTACGCCGCCACCCATAGCGTGTGTCTTCGACAGAACGGCAAATCATTGAGGAAAACGTTGCTGGTATGCTCAAACGGGATATTATTCGACCTTAATCCAGCTCTTGGTCGTCTCCTGTGATGTTGGTCCGGAAAAGGGATGGTTCTGTCCGCTTTTGTGTTGATTACAGAGCGCTCAATAAGATCACGAAAAAAGATGTATATCTTTTGCCACGCATAGATGATGCCCTCGACTCCCTACAAGGCGCAGAGTATTTCTCCAGTCTCGACCTCTGATCCGGGTATTGGCAAATACCTATGCGCAAAGCAGACAAGAAGAAAACAGCGTTTGCAATGCCAGACGGGCTTTACAAGTTTAACGTCATGCCTTTTGGCTTATGCGACGCTCCGGCAACATGAAATCGAGCGCATGATACTGTCTTACATGGTCTCAAGTGGAAAACCGGCTTATGTTATTTAGATGACATTGTAATTTATTCTTCCACTTTTCTTCAGCACCTTAAGCGTTTGGACGAAGTTCTAACGTGCATTTCGAACGCTGGCCTTCAGCTCAATACAAAAAAGTGCCACTTCGCCAGCAGGAGCATCAAAGTATTGGGTCACCTCGTCAGCAAAGATGGCGTTCGACCCGACCCCAACAAGGTTGCTGCTGTAATTAGTTTTCCTCATCTGGGCAATCAAAAAACAATTGCGAAGTTTCTTGGGCCTGGCGTCTTACTTCCGCCGCTTCATCAGTCACTTTGCTGCCATTGCGGGGCCGTTACACAAGCTTCTGACATCGGGAACGGCCGACGAGTGCGAGTGTGCTTTCCAAGCCCTTGAACGTGCTTTGACATCAAATCCCGTCCTCCGTCACTTCGACGAGAGTGCACCCACTTTCTTGCACACAGATGCTAGCAGCCACGGAATCGGTGCTGTCCTCCTCCAATGCGACGGCACTTCACGTGAGCGAGTAGCTGCGTATGCCAGTCGCGCACTAACACCTGTGGAGGAGAACTACTCGATAACAGAACAGGAATGTCTCGCTGTCGTTTGGGCCATCCAGAAATTTCGACCTTATCTGTATGGACGCCACTTCACTGTGATTACCGACCACCATGCTCTTTGCTGCTTGTCTTCGCTGAATAATTCGTCTGGGCGCCTCGGTCGCTGGATACTTCATTTGCAAGAGTACACTTTTGATGTTGTGTACAGGTCCGGCAAACAGGGTCAGGATGGCGATGCTCTCTCTCGCTGCCCTCTGCCACTTTCATCTCCAACCACGCATCCTCGATGCCCTTGAAGTGATCAAGCGGCTTCCTCTTCACTCACGTTATCACCCCTGGCAGTTGCTGGGTCGCTATCTTTAAACAGCAGCGCTCAGTTTGCCACGTGCCAACGTGACGACCCCTACTGTAACTGCATCATCGGATACTTCAATGGCTCACCTTCTCCACCTAATGCCAGACTACATCGTCCAGCTACAGCAGTTCAAGATAAAGAACAATGTCCTGCAGCGCTATACTTACAATGTGGATGGGCATCGGTGGGTACCAGTACTTCCCCGTTTGCTGCGAAAACAAGTTCTCGAAGCATTGCACGACGACCCATCAGCGGGACACTTAGGATTTCAGAAGACCTACAACCGCGTTTGGAGCCGTTTCTGCTGACCTGGTCTTTCTACCTTTGTGGCTAATTATGTCGTTTCTTGCGCACTTTGTCAATGCCGCAAACGACCTACTTCAGCTCCTGTTGGCCTATTACAACCCATTCCATGTCCCGATACACCTTTTGTCACTGTAGGAATAGACCTCACCGGGCCTCTTCCCGTAACGCCAGCAGGCCACCGCTGGATCGTCACAGCCGTCGACCACCTCACACGATACGCGGAGACCACTTCTCTACGCCCTAGCTCTGCCTCAGACGTTGCCGCCTTCTTTTTAGAAGCCATTGTGTTGCGCCATGGTGCACCTCGCGTGTTGTTGAGTGACCGAGGCAAGGCCTTCCTGTCCACAATCCTTGATGAAATTCTTGAAACTTGTGGCACAGTTCATAAGACCACATTCGCTTACCACCCGCAGACAAATGGCCTGACAGAGCGATTCTACTGGACTCTAATCGACATGATATCCATGTACATCGGACTCAACCACGATAACTGGGACAAAATCTTGCCGTTTGTAATGTTTGCACACAATACCGCTGTTCAACGAACCACCAGATATTCACCTTTCTTCCTCGTCTACGGTCGCACGCCGACATTCATCATCGACGCCTTTTTCTTCAATATAACAGCAAAAATGCCCACAACTACACCAGGACATTTCGTCTCCCGGCTCGCTGACACACTACAACGTGCTCAACTCAACATGAAGGCCAGTCAACAAGACCACAAGCAACGCTATGACAGCTTTCGTCGAGACGTCACCTTCCTTCCTGGAGATGAAGTACTACTTTGGATGCTTGTTCGTACACCCGGATTGTGTGAAAAGTTTCAGTCACGCTTTCTCGGACCTTACGTTGTTTGTGAACGATTAGTCCTGTACATTATCTTGTCACTGCCATCAAGGGTTCCTGGGACCGTCGTTACCGTGCCTCCGAGGTAGTCCACGTTTCACGTCTGAAACCCTTTGTTCGCTGTACCTTTTCCCGCCTAAGTCTCGGCCGGGCCGGTCGCTCAAGTGTGCGGGGAAAATAAGTGTGAACATTATTTATGCGTCCTATCTTCTCATCATCTGTACATACTCATCATCACCACATTAGTTTGGGTTGTGGGGCATATACTCGAGACAATAAAGAAGAGTCCTGATGGTTCTGGACACTGCCTTACAATATATATATATATATATATATATATATATATATATATATATATATAAAGAGAGAGAGAGAGAGAGAGAGATGTCATGTGTTGAAATACTGCACATTATTTTTAAAAATGTGACTGTTTATTCTCTTTTATTTTGTTTCTTCTTCTCCTGAACTTCCCATTGTTCTTTTGTTTCTTTTTTCGTGTCCTTACTTAAAAGCAAATAGAGGGACGGATATACTTCCAGGTAAACGAAATACAACTATTTGCATCTCTGCCTTCACCCTCCACTACTTCCTTATTCCAAAGCTTTTTTGTGTGTATGTGTGTATAACTAACGCTTACTAGATTCCTAGCATCCTGCTGCACCTTTGCTTGTATTTTGCCAAACTGAATGGCCAAGTTTGATAGAATACTCTTCTGCTAACCAGGCTGGTCATAAAGCTTTGAAGTGTCAATGGTGGCTCAAACATCTAACAGAGACCTGTTTTATGAAAGTGATGACTGTCATGGGCTACAGCCACTTTGCATACCTCTCCAGCTATAGCAATCACATCGAAAGATGTGAGCCTTCAAATACCTCATTGAAGTGGAAGTGTTACTGTTAAAGCCACAAACTCGTGTATCTTGCAACATGCATGATCTTCCTTTACTTGTACCAGTGTCATATATTGTTAGTGAAAGCTTTGAGGCATACTTAACAGGAAACCAACATGTCATTACTTTGCCATGTTGAAACGTGATTTTGAATGTAGGAATTGTGGAGGGAAGGTAGCTGTATTATTTTACAGCATTTACTGGCTTATTTGGAAGCTTGATGATCAGCCTGCCATACTTCATCTCTTCATCTGCCATGTCTTTGTCACCTTAACAAATGCATCACGTGAGAATTTTACGTCAGCTTGAAGGGCCTAGTGAACAGAAATGCTCATGATCAGAAGTTCATCTTTAGGATTTGCGTACTACCATAATGTGAACATAGAAACCAGTTTCCAGAAAATATTATATAAGTGCCAATAAACTTTTTGGTCATGACGCACCATTCTGGCAACTTTTATTGAAAGGGCAGATTCAGGCTCATGTTTTGAAAAGAAAATGATTTCAGTGATAAATAAATGGATCTTGCAAACGAGGAAAATATTTTCTTTCTTAGTTTCCCTATCCCTATTATTGTCATACTCTTCACACTTAATGAAAAGGGCTTTAATAAGTGGTTTATTTACCCCTCACTGGCCCTGCCCCCCTTTTATTAATAGTTATTTCTTTGTTAAAGCACATAATGCAACTTTTTTTCAATGCAAGAGCTGAAAAAGAATTATGCTTGTTAAAGGGGATAGAGGATACCTTTCTTGACCTAAAATTTAGATGACATCTTTAACTTGATTGCTTTGTTGGTAACTTTTGGTGCAGGGTTCCTACTCTATGAAACTAAAGTCAGTATTAGTGGTTTATTTTTCTAGTTTACTTTCTACAGTTCTGGATAGCCATACATAATTTCATTGGAGTGCAGGTCCTGGTCTACCAAGCGAAATCTTTGTGCATTTTTATGAAGTAACTTTTTTGGGGAAAGCAAACTAAGGCCAACTTAGGTTTTTGTTGTTTCACTGCTCCTGACTACTTTCCACAAGCATACTCACAAAGCTGAGTTTTATATGTGTTCCATCCTAGTAGAATGTGCCATTAGTCCTTGTGCTGTTGTGTCTGTTTCACTCTTTAAAGAAGTTGTGGGTAAAACCAAAATATGAACTCTTCTTTCTTGCATAATTGGTTTAGTAGCAAGATGCAGGTTTCTTTGTAGGTTTTTGTTGAGCCATCGTAGCATGCTTCATCAAAAGTGGTCAAACCGAAAATGTTTCTAGAATCAGCACTTTAACAATGAGATCTGGCAAACAGCTGATTGTGTTTACAGTCTTTTTTCCTCTGCCAAAGGGGGGGGGGGGGGGAGTTAACTAGCTGATTGGATAGGCATGGTGCGAAATGTTGGAACTCAAGGAGGGATATTGTAGTAGTAAGGAAAATGTGAGGAAATGAAGTTTTTGCTTATAAGTGGTTGGACAGTTGGTTGTTTGATGAGATTCATTTTTCTATATGCAATTATGTTTTCACAAAAGTTCCTTGTAGAAAGTGTGCGTGCCGCATTCACTCTTGTCACTAATGATTTACCACTATATGCATTTTGTATGTTTAGTGGAACCAATCCTGATTAATGACTATTCTCTGGATATTGGCCTTGTCTCTTTGTTTACAATAGTGCTGCATTTTTTTTCTTGCACTAACAATAAGCTACACCACGTAGTTATATGCATACACTTATTTGCATACAATTCGAAGTTATACCAAACACTTTTTTACCTTTTTTCTCCTTCAGATCTGCTCCAAAATTACATTGTTTCATTCACAAAAGTTGCATAATAAATTACCTTAATGTGGCTTGTGTGATGCTACAGTCTGCTCAGGTTTTCTGGAAGCAGTTTCCTTCTATGGCTTTCTTTTGTGTTGACTTTATACAAAATATCACTGAGCTTTCATAGTGCAAAAGCTTTGTCAAAGCTGTCCATGGTTATGACAGTACACATGAAGCACACATTGAATTTTCATACATCTAGGCCAGCATTTTGTAGCAATGCGTGTTGCTTGATATGATGCTATTCTCATTATTCACTAGTCACTTGCTGTCTGATCCTGTTGATAATGTGGATGAACAGCTGTTCTGACCATTGGTCAAGCACAACACAAAAACATGAAAACTCAGCATTGCAATAGACATTGTTACAAAGCTCTGGCAGTGTGTGATTTAGCACTTGAATAGGTACCATGTCAGAGCAAAAAGTGTCATTGCACAGTCTTGCAGTGTTAGAAAATAATTGTACCAAGCTCTGTTCATGTTCATGAGTTCATTGAACTTACTATAAATTACAATTATTGCAATAAAAGAAAGAGGGATGTAGGAGCTATCAAGTGCTAGAAAACATGTTGCTGTACACGTCGATGATATGAGAAGGGTGAGGGGTAAAGTCGTGAGGGTTAAGACCAAAGTTATTGAAACTGAAAACAAAAATAGTAAAGGAGACACGGGAAGTCTCACAATCCTTAAAGTACTAGTGCATAAGCACACGCAGAAGCCGAAATTGAGTTTGCAGGACAGAACTGGTATAGTTTAATCCCATGGTTGTGGCGATCACATTGTCAGATGACATGACTGTACCTTCCTTTTCCACCATCTAGCAGAAACAACTCTTGTATTTTCCTACATACTTCTACCTTCCTTTTTATCTTGTCATATTTCCAGTGTGAAATTCAACACAATGAAATCATGAATACGTGCTAACTATCCCATTTTGTAGCTTCACTCTATTCATGTATGCTTGGTGGCTTGACAGCGATTTCTGTGTGCTGTCATACTCGGTAGCATATGTTTAATGTTAACTTCTTGTTGATCTTTCCTAGTCTTGTTACCAATTCGTACTTGTTGCAGAGGGCTCCGCCGCGGTGGTCTAGTGGCTAAGGTAAGCGGCTGCTGACCCGCAGGGAGCGGGATCGAATCCCGGCTGCGGCGGCTGCATTTCCGATGGAGGCGGAAACGTTGTAGGTCCGTGTGCTCAGATTTGGGTGCACGTTAAAGAACCCCAGGTTGTTGCAATTTCCGGAACCCTCCACTACAGCGTCTCTCATAATCATATCGTGGTTTTGGGACGTTAAACCCCACATATGTCAATCAATCACTTGTTGCAGAGAATGTACTACATCACAGCATCTGTTTGTCATAGTGCACAAGAAAACGACCCATGCTGCATGCACAATCTAATCGCATTGTAGCCTATTTTAGATGATTGTAATTTTTTTTGCATATTGACAAACAGCGAAATCTGGTTTGGCCTGAGAAAAGGAGCCTCTGCACATATTACTACAGACAAAAAGCTGTTTTTTTTTTTTGCTTCGTGTGTTAATTTTGTTTTAATGAGAACTTTCAAATCAAAATTGATGCCACTTGTTGCTTGTACTAATGCTTTATAGGGCACATGACAACAAACAAGGTGTTTCTGAACAAGGACTTTTGCTTAGTGAAGGCATGCTTGAGAAAGGGATGCCTTTTCCTAGCGCATTGTCAAAAGCTTTTTTTATATTAATACTCCTTAAAGATTAGTGTACAATGTATGAATCTGCCAAGTTACAAGACACAAGCTGATATAAACATCATTCATTGCATTTCATGGTCATCTCATGCTACATCATGCTTGGACTGAAACTTCAACATTTAGTATCCCAGCTTCTCTTTATATTAGCGCACCTTGGACCCCTTTTTTGTTTGTTAGTATTTTATGTTAAAGTAGTAATGTACGCTATGCATGGCTGTGATCCTTACTTAAGTAGGCACTATTTTACTTAACACAGAGCAAGAGAGACAGGAGAGCCAATTTTGCTGTGAAGATGTGGATGCAAATTGCTCACTTGTGGATGTTGTCAATGATTTGCTATATGTCGGAACATATTTGAATCTCTGAGGTTCTAGCAATGTCAGCCTCCAGCTGTTTCACACTTTGTGCAAGAGTGCACAGTTTTCATTTTCATCTGCCATTAAACACACATAACTGCAAGACACAAATGACCTAATTTTCACATCATGATGGTCCAGGAAACCTTGACAATAAAATTATGATAGATATCTAGCCTTTACCAAAGAAGCATACAAATTCAAAGCAAATTTACTCACTAGAATAAAGCACTTGTGTGCTGTTTACTATTTCCTTCTGCTTACTGTCTTTTGGCAGCAATGGAACACTGGCCGAACCAGCTGGATCACTAAGACATCGTGTCGTTAAAATGATTTCATTGTTGCTAGCTGGAACATTGTTATGTTGCCTCAAAAATATAGTCATGCTTTATTGCATTTGTGGACAACTAAAGGATGTGCTTTAAGTCATCATGTTTCACATCACACCCCTGTACGCAAGAATTCTGTATATTCAGTGGTATCTCGAAAACTGGAGGTACAGAGGCATGTCTTGCTATGGGTGTGGTCATGTGGACACTTGTAAGCTCTTATATAGCTTACTTGTAAGCTTTTCTGTCCTTAAATGTTTTCTTGCCAACCATCAGTACTCAGACTTTAGTGAGCACACTTACTGAATACTGATAGGGAAGCGATAGCACAAAATAGAGAAAAATATCACGACGATGTTGCTGATGATTGTGTGCAAGCGGCAACATGGAGGAATAATATGGAAGAGGAGAAGGAGGAAGTGGAGGCACGAGCAGTCGAATAAACATTGAGTGCTTGGGGTAGGGCTCTAGCTCGTTATTACCCGACAGACGAAAGATGAAGAATGCTTGGCATGATTGGTCTCTGCAGCTTAATCAAAGTCAATGTCCTGTGTATACTTCAGTCTAATACAGTCAGCACTCCTGTCTGTCTTGCCTTGTGCTCCTTGCTCTAGCACATGTTAATGTTTGTTGGTTCTTTCCAGCATTTCATCCAGCACCAAGCCAGTACAAGCGGAAAAGCTGTGACATGAAACTGGACACTGAACCATGTGGATCACATTGTTACCTCCACTTGGTGAGACTGAAGGACACTATAGATTTTTCTTTCTTTTTTCCCAATATATTCCACTTTTAACTTTGAAAATTCTGATGCTAATACCAAATTTGTAATGTCCATACTTTCTCAAGATATGCCATTGTATAAGTGGCCCTGAAGTTGACATTAAAACACCATTTTGATCATTCAAAACCTGTGGATTGCCTGCTTGAACGTCATATTTTTCTTCTGTGGTATACTTTAATGTTGCGTGTTTGTCTTGCTTTCTGCCAAGGTAATATTTTGTGGTTTGCTGCAAATGTGAAAATAGAATGCCATAATCGTGAGAAGCAGAAGTGTTTAGTGTGCTATGGACATAATGCACATAGGTGGTTAGGTAAAAACAGTGTGCTGTACTGGGCTTCCGATTGTGCATGAGTTTGCTATTATTGTCACTGTGTCTACATGTGTGTTTTTTAAACTACAGAATTGTGCTCCTTTACTGCTCATGTCATACTGCTCAGTTCACAGCAGAGGTAAATTTTTTTCTATTACCTTAGGATTCTGTGAAGGCAAAGCTGCAAGCAAAGCTCAAGGAAGAAAGGGAGTCATCGGAACAACGCCAGATGCAGAAGCAGATCTCCATGGACAGTGGGAATGAAGCAAGCGGTGAAGACAGCAATGACAGCACACGCACAAATAGCAAGAAGAGTGACAGCTCTGAAAAAGACTTAGATAAACCAGCACAGATGACAGTCAACAGCTTGTCAGGTTGGCTTACTGCCTCATTATTTTTATTGGCATATAGTTACGGGAGGTATGCAGAGCTAAACACACATTCACAATGCTGAATCATGAAGGTTAGATTGATCACAGTTTCCATTACTAGGCCAAGTGTTAGGTTTCTTCCTTAATTAAGCCAGCTACATTTTCTTACAGGGAAATCATTCGAAAGCAAAGCTTTTCGCCTGCTTGCATCACTTGAACCTGTAGTGCAGCCATCGCAAGAAGAACTTCAGGAAGAGTGGTCTGGAGCAGAGCAGTCACTTTTCCGTGTCCTGTGGAGAGTTTTTTATGGCAACTACTGTGCACTTGCCACACTCATTCTTAGCAAGACCTGTGCTCAAGTAAGCCATCATTCATTGATGTGTAATGCAGTTCCTATAGTGTGGAAACCTGATGCCTTATTTATTTGCAGTAGTTCTTAAAAACAGACACAAGCATAAAATCTCACTCATCGTGGTAACTTGGTGGCTCTGGTGTCGCACTAACTGTGCACGAGATTGCAGGATGAAATGTTCACTGTGCCGGCTGCGTATTGACACAGGTGGAACGTTAAATTGTAGTATCACACCTGCAACAGACCGATACTACATTGATGTGCCTTCTGCATAAAATAATTATGGAAGCGGTTGTATATCTTCCTTTAGAATATTGCCATTTATAATACTGAATAGTCAAACTACCATTGCTACCTACAAGTCCTTGTTCTTTTAGTTTGTCTGTTGTGAATCATGTCAAGAAATTAAGACTGCATTAGGCAGCAATGTTTACAAACTTTAGAAGTGTTCAAAAAACCTTTGTACAACTTCATATAGATATGATTTCTGTTCCTAGTGAGTTCTGTTCAGTTCTGCACCCAACACATTTTTCTAACCAGAATGTCATCATATGCTGGGTGCCTCAGTAGCAAGGCATTGAGGGTAACATGCTCACAAATTCCACATCCATAGCAGAAAGGCTAGTAATTCCTGCTGCATGCTTGAGGCCTTATTTGCACAGGAAATTGAGAATGTACTGGCCAAGTATGCAATATGCTGAAAATCTTGGAAGCCTCACATAATTATTTTCCATATAGGTAATTGGTTGTCAGAACTGACCAAGGAGGATTAAAAAAATTGCTGGAGTGGAAGCTTCCATAATGCCTTGCCAGCAGAAGTGAAGCCAGCTTTTGCCACTGCCAAGATGGCGAAAACATGCTCTTTTCTGGTAGTGCCCACTTAAAGACAAGTGGCTTTGATATGCTAATGTAAATCCTACATTAGTTCTATATTAAAATATAGTTGTTCCCGACGAAATAACACACAGAAACAAGTATAGGTTACTGAATCTCCAAAGAACTTTGCCTCCACTTAGAGGCTTACTAAAGAAAATTAGTAACACTAAGACGCACTTCGAGCACTATGTGACTGAAAAAGTTTCCACATCAAACTCGTTGGGCGTGTGAGGAAAATTCTCCGTTCTTAATCGCTGAACTGTGATATTTTATAACGCCTCTAGTAAGATGGCCGCCACAGCTGCCACCTTGTTATAGGCACGGCTTCACTCCTGGGCAATCATTTCCACCCCAGCAATTTTTTTTTAATTCTCCTTGGTACTGACAACAATAAGTTGATGTATGATTCTGTAGTCTTAATGTAGAACATACATTTTAATGCACTACTTGCCAACTGGCAGTGATCTACCATTTTGTAGCAGGTGTAATGACATCCTGACCATTGTCCATGTGTTACTAGATTGCTAGGAGGTAGAAGTGAAAAGTGAGGAAAACTTCCCCATAGTCGAAGAAGGGAACGTGCCCCTCACCCCTCTAACCTATAAAGTTTCAGGGCACTGAATTGTTCTTTTTTTCATCAACTCGCCTATACTAGTCTGGCATGATGTTGATAAGTTATATCAATCCAAAAAATATGGCCTGCTGTGTGCTTGTTTGAAGAAGCAAGAAAAACAAGAGGCAAGGTGTAAAGTTTATGATAGAGCAGCTGTGATAATAGCATTTCGTAGAGCACATAGCTGCTGGTAGTCATGTTAAATGGCTGTTAATTATAGTGCTAATTGTATGAAATATTTCAGTACATTTTCTTATTGTAATGTACCGTATTTACTCACATAATGAATGCACTTGCATAATAAATGCACCCCCAACTCCAGTCATCAAAATTTGGATTGGATTTTATTTTTACTCCGCGTAATAAAAGTACCCCCTACATTCATCTGCTGTAGTCTCGCTAACCGACACCTGGTGTCTTCTCACTCGTTGGATCTCCTCCGTTTTTTATTATTTTGCCGACCCACCTCGACTCGCTCCCTCCCTCCCCTTCGCCCACTGCCAGGTGCCATATTGTTTGTCTTTCTATCTGTGCACGGCCCATCCCCTGTCTTATCTGTGTGCCACAGCGGGGTTCAGGAACTGTGGGAGTGTGGAGACATCGCAGCTGATAAGCACACGAGTGAAGGTCACGAAACTGCTCGCATTAACCAACGCGGGCAGTTTCAAAAAGCCCAACCAAGTGCACGCGATTTTCGAGCGATGACGACAGCATTTGCTGTCGTGAAGGGTCATTCGTCACTACCATGTCGCAGGTTTCTGAAAACCAGAAAAAAATTGCTCATCATCCAGAAAAGATCGTGATAATTTCCGCAACACGGTAGCACCCCCGATTCTCGCTTCAGTTGTTGTCTGCGTGCAGAGGAACTTCTCATGTAGAAGTGAGGCGGCGACCGTATTTTGTCGTTAATCTTGTTATCGATGTTTTGTTTTGATGGTTCGGGGGTAGTTTGCTGCAATGTTGGTTACTTACTGCAATGTAAACAGCGTCGTCATGGTCATCATGCAAGATTGCCGCGAAGTTGGCAAAGTGTGTTGTAGCGTCGTAGCGCACGCTTTTGGGCGCCTCTCGAGATCACAGCAGACCACTGTTGCGGTTGAACAATTGCGAGAAAAGATAGCTGCAAAACGCTTTTATGGTGGGCTCGGGCGGCCCGGGGACAGCTTGCGGAAGATAGCACCATCAACCACCGAAGATGAATAAAGTGCAACAAAAAAGCTATTTCCAAACAGTGTATGCGTATGTCAATTGCGAAAGGCTAAGCGACCGAACTTTTTTTGCATTACCGCATTTTTTGCTCCTCCCAAAAAAGTTTTCATAAAGTTTACCCCGTGTAATAAATGCACCCCCTAACTTTTCTCTGATTCTTCGAGAAAAAAATGTGTTCATTACAGCGAGTAAATACGGTAACTCATAAGACTTCTGTACAGCCACATCACACTTTCACTTTGTCCCTGATCATACCGCCCATTTAATCATATTTCTTCGTGCTGTTTGGCCGTCCTCGGCACTTGGGCTCCATAATCAAGAATGTACAAGGTCTGTTAGAACAGTATCCGACCTTTGGTGAAAGAAAAAAACTAGCATAATTGGAGCATTGGAAGCCTAATTCCCCTCAAAGCAGTTCCCTTGGGACTCCACACATCTTCTCCCTGCGGTGCTGCCATCGTTGGAAGCATTCTCAGAGGGCAGTCTTTTTGAATAGAGTTTAATTCAGCTGTCGTTGGAGCCATAATGTCCTCCCTTGTCTGAAATCCCCTCTCCTTTCAATGTCCTCTTGAGTTTTGAAAAATAGCCAGAAGTCGCAAGGGACTATTTCAGGAGAGTAAGGAGCCTGTTGAACTACCGGAGCCTATTTGCCAAAAATGTCTGAACCAAGTGTGAGGAATGTGCAGGAGCAGTGTTGTGATGGATGTGCCAGTTTCCTGTTGACCACAACTCATGTCTCTTGTGCCACACAGCATCACGTAGGCGACGGAAAACGTCCTTGTAGTACTCTTTGGTGATTTTTGGTGATTGTTCGACCTTGTGGTGCGTACTCGTGGTGTACCACATCGCGGGAATAAAAAAAAAGCACTCATCATCACTTTTATGTTGCTGCGCACTTGGCGGGACTTCTTCGGTCTTGGTGACGTGGGATGCTTCCACTGTGACGACTAAGATTTGGTTTCCGGGTCGTACCTATACACCCTAGGCTCGTCACTAGTGATAATGGTGTTCATGATGTTAGGGTCACTGCTTGTGAAATCTAGCATTTTTTCTGAGACTTCAACACGAAGTTGCTTTTGCTCCACCAAGAGCAGTTTCGGCACCAATTTCACCGCAACTCTCTTATGGCCAAATCTTTTGTCAGTGCTGATGCCCACCTCATCCGCAATTTCCCGGATAGTCACACAATGGTCCCACATCACAACAGCGTTCAGTTCAGCAATGACCTGGTCATTTCAGCATGTTGATGGCTGACAGGAGCATGGCTCGCTCTCCACCGATGTGCGGCTGTCTTTAAACCGTTTGTACGACTCCTTCATCTGTGTGTGGCTCATAGCGTCGTCAGCGAAAGCCGTCTTGATCGTCCCAATGGTTTCCATTTGGCTGTCAGCCAGTTTTTTGCAAAATTTGATGCAGTAGCGCTGCTCCAGTTGGTCCATCATTTTCCTTGCAATGAAAAACCGACTAGATCACTACCTCACTAAAACGCTGCGTCCCAGCGACTGATGCTATTGGCAGGCGGGAAAGAATCCACGCAAATGCGCAAAGGTTTAAGGTCGACTGATGCAAGCGTGCTTGTTTCAAATCCATCAGGTGCTCGCAAAAAAAAATAATAATAATAAGGTCGGATACTTTTCTAACAGACCTCGTACCCCATGAAGCACGACACCACAATGTTTATGGTGTGCCTACTCTTTATCTATTTCATCAGTTATGCTATGCGCTGGTTTACCTCCAAAACTGCAAGTGGCCTTGTTGGAAAACAATTTAGTATCTTAAAGCTTTTGTGCAGAAAATATGGGGACAAGGCGAAAGGTTGCACACGTCTCTGTGTCTTTCTCCCCTTGTTTCTTGTGCATAACGGTTGAGATTATTGCTTTAACATAACGTTACAATGACGATCATATTGTAACCAATGCAAGTTTTTTAAGAAGTTATAGGTAATGTAACATTGTTGCAGGTGTATGCATTTGCACAGCGGGAACTTGCAGATCTTCCACCTGAAGAACATGTACATGACAGCACACCACCTCGTAAAAAGAAGAAAAAACATAGACTGTGGTCCATGCACTGTCGCAAGATCCAGCTGAAGAAAGACAGTTCTTCTAATCATGTGTACAACTACACTCCTTGCAACCACCCAGGCCAGGCTTGTGACCAAAACTGTCCTTGTGTCATGGCACAGAACTTTTGTGAAAAATTCTGCCACTGCAACTCGGACTGTACGTATTCGTTCCATACTGTCTACGCTGTTAAAGGGGCGCTGAAACACTTTTTCGAGTAACCATGCAATCAATTCACTGGAAAAGCGTACTACCTTACAAGTTGAACGCCGCAAAAACTTTAAGAATCTGTCCAGTAGGAGTAGAGTCACAAAGACTTGTCATACGCTGCAATCACATTCTCTCTTCTCTCGTCCCTACGAAAGCGCTGGAAGCTGAGCAGGGAGGGATGGGAGGGGCAAATAAAAAACCTCACTAGCGCCTCGTGACCTTGAGCTTTTTTTCTTCTTTTTTTTTTCTCTTCGAATACGTGGCTTTTTTAGTGCGATCGAGCGCGCACACGTGGACAAGTGACGGCCTCTCGCGGCAACCTCTGTAACAACCGAGCGCGCCATGTTCAAATCAGCCAATGGCTGATAGATGGGCTTACTGAGCTTATTTTCCGTGATTTGTCGAGAGAAGAAAAAGCTATGTTTAGCTGACTTTGATAATTTATTGTCAATTTCAGGCTGCGAGCTGCCCTATAATATTTGGCTTGCGTGTTGTCGGGAGCCTCTACTACCGAATGGCAGCGTTTTCTGACCATGCTCAAAAGGCTTTGCAGCGCCAAAGAGCTGGATTAATCTTACTTATTTCAAACACTTTTAGGTCAGCAACGGTTTCCAGGGTGTCGCTGCAAGGCACAGTGCAACACCAAGCAGTGTCCTTGTTACCTGGCTGTACGAGAATGTGACCCTGACCTTTGCCAGACCTGTGGAGCTGGTGCGTGTGATCAGTCCTGGGGGTGCTGTCCTTGGTGTTAGTACCAATCTGAGCTCATTCCACTTAATCCAGTAGCTACTTGGCATGCTGATGCCACACCATAAGGTGTAATCTGCAAAAATGGTAGACTTTCCATGTTGGTTTTTACTGAAAGAGTTATGTAAGCTTGAGCAAGTGTTCTTGCAGCAAAGATTTAAGATTAAATTGAATTTGTTTATTTCAGATATACATACACAATTGATACTGTGAAATATGTCCACATGGTAAAGCAAAAGAAGACTCGTAGGTCTCTTGACAAGGTCTTCACCCCGAACTTACATGTCCAACAGCAGGAGCGAAAACCAGTGAGAACATGTCAGATATAGAAATAATTACACTGTTCATTATACAGTATGTAAATTAGAATGAAAATGAAAAGAAACACTTTGACATGAATATAAGGGAAAGTTTATACAAACCGTAATAGTGGAAGCAATAGTCTTTGCTTATGAAGCACGTAAAATATAAAGCAAAAGGTAAACATGAGCATGTTATGATACATCATTCAAAAGTTGTACGTTTGAAAGGAGACGGGAGTACGTAGTAGTTTTACGTTTTTTTTTTTTAAACATGAAACGATTAATTTTGGTTGCTTATTTTACACTGTTAATATATTGCATCATTTTACAAACAATATGTCCAGCAGTCATATCAGTGCATAGTGTAATAAATATTGCTGCACCGTCCCTTCTATTTGATTGCCTTTTGTACTTAAACATAAACTTTACCCTTTGATTTCCTAGATTGTGGTAGGCATGCCTTGCCTCACTTGCAGTCTTCAGGATATTTTGGGGGAAGCTAGTGTGTTTCTCATTGTGCATAGGTACAATTTTCTCTCGGTACAGATCAGTTTGATGTCCAAAACATTTCCTGCAAGAATGTGAGTGTACAGAGGGGCCTAAGAAAGGTAAGGCACAATTGCAGTTTTTTCAAGACGCTGATTAAGAAGTGGCAAATTTTCAGCACCTGCTGTTGGCACCATCTGATGTTGCTGGCTGGGGAATATTCTTGAAGGAGACAGCTCAGAAAAATGAATTCATATCAGAGTACTGTGGAGAAGTAAGTAACATTTTCTCCAGTTCGTTGCTTCTTCACTTACAGTTCATGCATCATGATAGATGATTCATTCAATAGAAGTGCATGCTACTCTGAAAACATTTGCTGCTAGAAAATTACATTGCCTGAGTAATTTATGAGAAAAAAGTTTTGTAGTACTGATCTTAAATGTGCCTCAATGAGATGACTGTGCAAACTTGTGTGATTGCTTAGCTATATAGGAGAACCACGAACATGTAAATCTTTAGGTGGGAGGTAGAGGCATTAGTATGAAACAAATGATAATGACATTGATGAATATGAATACATGGGTAAAGACTTTATGAAAATTTTATGATAGGCACTTGTCTTCTCACACATACTCTACGTTCTGGCTGAAATAGTTTTGCCGCACCTTAAGTAACATTAAAGTGAGTGGTTAGCAATAACTGATTTATTAACTTTCTCATGATTATTATGAGAACAGTTGTATATGGAAAAGTGGCAGGGTGTGGCAGTTTATGGCATATGCATTTTGTTGAAATCCCAATAAACGTGTAATTTGAGATGTTAATTTCCCAATTTCAAGGCCACAATAGACCTGTATTGGGGTACGTCAGAACGTGACGTCACTGGCGCACGTGCAAGGCAGTGGTTGGCAAAACACTTCCGCCGGTGGCTGAGTGGGGTGCAGTCACTCAGTGCTTGGGGCACATTTTTTTCTTTTTTTTTTGAAAGCTTAATCTTCATCTCAAAGTGACATCTACTGTGGTATGTGTCAGAGAACACCTAGGTGTGTGGTAAAGTGCATGATGAAATATTTGCCCGCTGACTGACTGATTATCTCGGAGAAGTGAACACACGTGGCGGCCTATGCAAGGAACAGCGGCATCGTCTTCGAAAATATGCAGTGTTGGCTGTGGCCTGTAGTGTGCGCTGAAAGGCATCGACAATATTGGTTCACCTTTACGGACGGTGAAACTGAGAATATTGTGCGTGGGGTGTTTGTAGTGGGAATAACGTGTTGTGTCCTGTTTGCAAAAACACAGGTATTCATTGTAGGCCGGTTTCAGTAACGGGTTGTTGATGGAACTTTACGATCTAACATTTTAGTAGAGGTAAAAATGCATTTGACGCGACCATATGCGAGTGGGTACATCTCAGCGTATGCGCGGTGTGTAGAAAAATAAAAGTGCATGATCTCCAGGTGATATATACGACTACGCATGAGCTATAAGCATGTTGTAGTGTTGTCGAATCTGCATATACGCTTTACCACGGCTATAACTCTTATTATCAGATACCCCCGATACGTGTTAATGGAAACAGTGGAGATTTCTGTTTCTTATCTATTTTGTACTTTTGCGGCTCGATCCTTATGAAGTGACAATGTGCATTAGAAGTTTGTGTATCAGGCCTAAAGGAACAATGTAGGTACGAAAACACGTTATAGGTGTCAAATGCAGCAAGGTAACTGTGGCAGGTAATATTATATGTTATTAAGTTGTCAGGTTTTACATCACATGAATTGTCACTGGGTTATTGAGAAATACAGCGGCGGAATTTCACTTTAACTTTCACGGGGGTATGTTAACCTCAGCCTAACGCACGGCAAGAAGTGTTTCTTTCTTTTTTTCAGTTATCTCTGATCAGACTTTTGCGCAATGAGTGAGAATCTTATTCGTGAGGTCGTGCACAGCAGCTCAAAACCGTGCTGCCACCAATGCTGTACCTCGTTTGAAACTGCATTGCACATGCCAAGATGGAAATTAAATAAGTTTACATCCATGCCATGCAAATATTTCTCAAAGTGCCAATCACCGTGTACATTCAAAACTTTTGCTTTCGAAAAATATTAGATTTTTTTATGGCTGCCATTTACGTGGGTGAAGCCTACTGCATGCCAGTCGCGTCTCTGGCTACTATAAATGAAGTTTGTCCATTCATCGAACTATGACGAGCAAATTTCCACACTATGAGCAGTGACCCTTTCGTGACCTCCTTCTTTCAAAAGCTGTGACTTTAGAACATAGCAATGTAGAAATTTCTGTTGAAGGAATGCAGACATGCAGCTCTGTTATGCAGAAAGATGCTGCCGGCGGAACTTTCTTGCCAACCAGCACCTGGTCCGAGAGAGAGTATGGTGGGCGGGGTGCCCGCAGTGATGTCACACTGTTTACAAACAGGGAGAGGTCTATTGAGGTAATATCGAAACTGAGCACGCCAGATATGCCGCTACTGTGTTAAATTAGTACAGAACTTCATGCGACAAACATTCGAAAAAAGGTCATAATGGTCAGCGCAACCGAAATACAAACACAGAAGAAAATGACGACATGGGAAAACGGTGTACTGGGGACTCATGGAGGCGTCTGAAGTGGTAAAATTGAGACATGTGTGAGCTGCCCTTCGATCCCTTTAATTCATGAGGAAGTGGCTTTCCTGGAAGGTGGACAGTGTCGGTAGTGTACGCATCAGTTTTTTCTCTGTTGGTTATCTTTGGGCTGCCCCGCCACGGTGGTCTAGTGGCTAAGGTACTCGGCTGCTGACCCGCAGGTCGCGGGTTCGAATCCCGGCTGTGGCGGCTGCATTTCCGATGGAGGCGGAAATGTTGTAGGCCCGTGTATTCAGATTTGGGTGCACGTTAAAGAACCCCAGGTGGTCAAATTTCCGGAGCCCTCCACTACGGCGTCTTTCATAATCATATGGTGGTTTTGGGACGTTAAACCCCACAAATCAATCAATCAATCTTTGGGCTATGCGCTGAGTTAATAATCTTTTTCCTACCCATATATATATCTGTGATTTTTTCCATTAGACATTCAGTTGACAGACAGCGCTTGTGTCATCGTTTCCTTCTCTGTCAGTGTTTTGTTTGCGCTGGCCGTTATGACCATTTTCTAACTTGCCCAACTCACTACCCTATTAGAAAAAGGTGCTTCGCAGCAGAATCTGGTCAGGAAAAACAGCAATTTTCAAATTCACAAGTGGACATATGTTGGCAAAAGAGTACTCACTAAAATTTTTTTCAACCCGACACACTCAGACCCAGACTCCCTAAACTTTTTCTTGTAGTGGAAGAATATCATGTAGTGGAAGGAGTCTCCTCAAAGGGCCAGTAAACAACCTTGAGGTGCAAAAATTGTAATGAAGAGAAATGCGTACGCTTTTGCTATGTGAACATGCTGCTGCAAGAATTTTCTATATACATGCTATGATAAAGAAGTTACAGGTGTTGGAACATTCATTTCAGCTGGTTTCAAATTTTCGCGTGGCTTTGCCACCCTTCTCCGCCATAGGGAGGAGGGAAGGCGTAGCCCGCCATTGTGGCTTCGTCCACTTTGGCAATGTAACATGTCGTCAGCGATATGTCATTGGCACACAGGCAATGTCTGAGCAGGGCTTCCCCCACATGAGTGCGTGTCATAGCAGTGCGGGGAGGAATTGATATGCGAGGAGCACCTTTCCTCTGGCGGTAAGGTAGCAAGATGCCTCTTATCTCAGAGGCTTTCGTTCTGGCAATACCACTTCTCCTGGTAGTCTCAGGCTCTACAAAACAACAGATTGAAGCACAGAAAAATTAAAATGCAGACCTGCGTAGCCAAAACTGCATCAGCCTAGGGCCAAGGTGCTGTTTCTTAGGGCGAAGGCCAAATCAACGAACTCAGTGGTACGTCAAGTTGCCCGTAAAGAAGTTTGTGTCACTGCATATAAAGCTGTATTCACACGATGGACCAAATCGCGATTCGAGCTTGCGGAATGTGTGCTATGTCACCATACGTCGGCAGTTCACGCTTCGGTCAGCGTGGACCGATTCGTGATGTGACGAAAGCCTAAATCCTTGGGATCCTCAAAGGAGCAGTACAGAAATTCTCGCTTGTAGCGTGAATTCTCCCCTGTCGTGGTAATACTGGCTGCAGAGGGGTCCGAATCACGTCACATGTCACGGGACTGATCCGTCCACGATCGTGCCTATTGTGTTTATACAGTTTTAGAAGGGGATTGGTCAGTCGAAGCAAAAAGGCACGGGAAGTGCTTTCTTTTTTTTTTTTTAATGAATGGTCTGTATGGCTAGCAGCACTATAATATTCGGAAAATGGGATCGCCTCTTGTCTACTGTACAAATCGATTTCATTGATTGATTGATTGATTGATTGATTGATTGATATGTGGGGTTTTACGTTTCAAAACCACCATATGATTACGAGAAACGCCGTAGTGAAGGGCTCTGATATGTGGGGTTTTACGTTTCAAAACCACCATATGATTACGAGAAACGCCGTAGTGAAGGGCTCCAGAAATTTCGACCACCTGGGTTTCTTTAACGTGCACCCAAATCTGAGCACAGGGGCCCAAGCATTTTCGCCTCCATCGAAAATGCAGCCGCCGCAGCCAGGATTCGATCCCGCAACCTGCGAGTCAGCAGCTGAGTACTACCTTAGCCACTAGACCATTGCGGTGGGGGTACTATACAAATCGGCAAGCTTGTTTGGGGGAGTGTAAAAAAATAGTCGGAGCCTATTTACTGGCCCTTCAACGCATTATATATCGCGTGGCAAATGCATTGAATTGTGCCAGGTGTCAAAAGATGTGAACTGAGCAATTAATGTGTGTTTTAAAGGCCCACCAATTACGAAGCGCACAGACTTATTTGATCTTTAGCAGCAGCACATCCATCAACGAAATGAACAGCCCCGTAGGTTTGTGTGTTATTCTACTGATGCATAGTGGGCCCTTTGCCGATTCGCAAAAGGAATGATTATGGCATAGTGGGCACTTAACAGCTGTGCTTGAAATAAGCTTTCAATTATACGATTGAAATGCCCAATGTTACACGCACAGTCGTTTGTTTCCTTATGGCAAACTTGAGGCACGCGCCAAGAAACGAAGCAGGCTAGCAGTTCAGAAGGCGATGTGCACGAGGCTCGATCACGCTATCCCGATCTACTCTTGTAGACGAAGCTCAAGCAACCTCAAACTCTTTTTCTTATATTTTGCTGGTCTTCTTTGAACGCTGCAAAAGATCACCACGTAGCATCTACATTACCACAATTAATTGGATCGGTCATTTTGGATTACTCTCTACAACGTAAGAAGCCACGCTTGGTCCTGAAGTTAACATTAAAAATTTTGCATAGTTGATCTCAGTCAATTAATAATTAATCAACATATAAAAACTGTAACAAGTGATCTATGATGGCAAACCATATGTTGTCGGTTTCATTCATTTACGGTTAATGTTTGAAAAAATTGTTCTAGTTGCATGACCCTGTATATATACAATAGACTCTGGAATTCAAATTTGGAAGTAAAGTAGCAAATTGGGCTAGTTGGAACGTACACATCACGATCAGTACAAAAAGAAACACAAATTTTTAGTTCACTCAAACAAATCTTAAACTTCTGCTTCCCTTGCTATGTTTTCAATATATTTTAACGACGCGTGATTTAAACTTCTACATACAGATTCCTTTGTATATGTGCATGTGGTGTAGCTGAAGCACTTGAGCTTTGCCGCACTCTTCAAGGCATCTCTTGTGCTGCAACACACAGTGAGTGCAGAACCACTCCATGCTGTCTTCAGCTGCTGTGATTTGACTGCATGGAAGTGATTTAGGTGGTTAGTATGTTGCTCTGAGCGGTGTGGCCACACTCTTGCTGTGACAGTGGAATTCATACCAAGTTTCTACGAAAAGTTGATACAGCCTATGGAGGGCTTGCTTCAATACCGTCCACTGAAATTATTAGTTTAGCTGTTAACCAAGGGAACATTTTGTTAATTGGCAACTATACTTGTGCACAACTCGTTTTGGCAATGCAGCGAAAGCTACTAAGCCAAATCGCACGCATTTTACCGCTAATGAATGTAGTCCTACGATTGTGTCCTTATTTTGACCGTGAGATGTGAAAAGTTTTGTCTTCATTTTTCGCATGTTCTTCTTTGACACAGCATGCAGCTCACACCAGTAAGATATTCGTTGGGGTTGGGGTTTAACGTTGTTGGGGTTTAACGTCCCAAAACCACGATATTGTCATGAGGTCATGACACTGGCAAAGGGAGCAAACTGGAGAGAGCAGCTCGGGTTAAACTGCTTATTGGGCCTAACGTCCACTGCAGGACAAAGGCCTCTCCCATGTTCCGCCAGTTAACCCGGTCCTGTGCTTGCTGCTGCCAATTTATACCCGCAAACTTCTTAATCTCATCTGCCCACCTAACCTTCTGTCTCCCCCTAACCCACTTCCCTTCTCTGGGAATCCAGTTAGTTACCCTTAATGACCAGCGGTTATCCTGTCTACACGCTACATGCCCGGCCCATGTCCATTTCCTCTTCTTGATTTCAACTATGATCCCCGTCTGTTCCCTAATCCACTCTGCTCTCTTCTTGTCTCTTAAGGTTACACCTGCCATTTTTCTTTCCATTGCTCGCTGCGTCGTCCTCAATTTAAGCTGAACCCTCTTTGTAAGTCTCCAGGCTTCTCCTCCGTAGCTAAGTACCGGAAAAATGCAGCTGTTATATACCTTCGTCTAGAGGGATAGTGGCAATCTACCTGTGATTATTTGAGAGTGCTTGCCAAATGTGCTCCACCCCATTCTTATTCTTTTAGCTACTTCTATCTTGTGGTTTGGCTCCGTGGTTATTACCTGTCCTAAGTAGACATAGTTATTTACAACTTTAAGTGCACTGTTACCCATCTCGAAGAGCTGCTCTCTTCCAAGGTAGTTGTACATTACTTTCATTTTCTGCAGATTAATTTTAAGACCTACCTTTCTGCTCTCCTTGTCTGATGCTGTTATCATGAGTTGCAATTCGTTCCCCTAGTTACTCAGCAATGCAATCTCATCGGCAAAGCGCAGGTTACTAAGGTACTCTCCATTAACTTGGTGGCGATCCAAGTGTGCCTGTGGCGCGATTTTTCTACAATTGCACATTCTTGAGCCTTGCTGCGCACATTTGAGTACAGCTTGCCCTAACTGCGCCAAAGTGTCGCCTTTTTACACAGCATCAAACTGTTTATGGCTCAAAATGACTTTTAGTCGCAACAAACACAACTAGAGCCTCTTTGATAATGCCGCTGCTAGCCTAAGTATCAGCGCCACTGTGTGTGTTTCCGTTGTTGAAAGTTTATCAGCATGTCGTTGATAGCCATTATCGATAGCCATTATCAATGTTATGCAACTGGCGATAACGTGTAGAAAAGCTACTTTTAGGGGGGAAGCTCCTTATGGCGTGGCTTGTGCGTCCCTCGTAGTACGTAACCACCAGTGGCACATACCCTGAAATAGGTATAACATTTGACCTCCAAGGTGGTGCCGGTGAGAGATTTCTTCTGTGCGTTGTTTAACTATAAAAAATAGTGCTCAATGTACATGCCAATGGCTGCTAATGGAGAATGAGAGACAGGAGCATTCGGCTTTTAGTCAACTCGCACGCTGCGATCCCCATTAGCAGCCATTGGCAGTGTACATTGAGCACTATCGGACAAGAAAGGGTTGCTACATTATACTCGCTGGATGTAACCTCCTTAGTTTTAGAAAGGTTTAGCGAGCGTTGAGCCGCAGGGCCATGAATACAATGAACTAGTATATACCATGAATGAATTCGACGTGGTTAAAGGGGGAAGCAGATACGAAGCGCAAGCCATAAGAAATTAAAAGCTGAATCCTCCTGTCTCTCATTTCACATTAGCAGCCACTGGAATGTACATTGAGCACTATCTGACAGGAAAGGGTTGCTACGTTATACTCGCTGGGCGTAACCTCTTTGGTTTTAGAAAGGTTTAACGAGCATTGGGCCGCAGTGCCATGAATACAGTGAACTAGTATATACCATGAACTCAAGGTGGTTGAAGGCCCCGCCGCGGTGGTCTAGTGGCTAAGGTACTCGGCTGCTGACCCGCAGGTCGCGGGTTCGATTCCCGGCTGCGGCGGCTGCATTTCTGATGGAGGCGGAAATGTTAGAGGCCCGTGTACTCAGATTTGGGTGCACGTTAAAGAACCCCTGGTGGTCGAAATTTCCGGAGCCCTCCACTACGGCGTCTCTCATAATCAAATGGTGGTTTTGGGACGTTAAACCCCACAAATCAATCAAGGTGGTTGAAGGTGGGACGTAGACCCGAAGCGCGAGCCGTAAGAAAGTGTGCGTGTGCCACCTCTCGTTTAGTCCTTGGAATGTCCACTGAATGGCGGTGCTTCTATATGGGGAATATATGATAAAAAGATGTGAGATGGTGGGACTTGGAGTGTTGAATAGATGGACGAACGGACACACAGACAGATGCATGGATGGACGCATGAACGGACGCAGGGGCGGATGCATGAACGAACGCAGGGACGGGTGCACAAACAGACGCATGGACGGTCACACAGACGGACGCATGGACGGACAAATGCTTCGCCCCACTCTCCATCATTCACTCCGTGGATATGCTGCCATTTTTTTTTTCTCGTTCATAAGTCACTCGGGTACTGTGTAGTCACTGTGGCCAATGGACAACTGGTATCGGCATTGCGTGCTATAGAAACGGCCTATGATTAATGCAAGTCAATATTCGGCCGTGAAACATTCTATTTGATATATATATCTCGCAAAAAAGTAGATGCCTCTTGATCGCGCTTCGCAATTTTCTTCGGTATGCCAGTATCGTAAAGTTAAGCCTAAATATTCACGCGGAGCGCGTCTGGCACAAAGTGGTGAGAGTACTGCTCGCGAATGTTCTAGGACTCACTTGGCACCCGTCTGTCTCTTTGCTCCCCTCTTTTTCATGTTCCTAGTAATGCGCCAGTTACGAAATGTTCGGCAAACTAAGGCACCAACTCGCCCGCAAACTTCTTCTAGAGTGCAAAGGATTGTCGCGCGTCTTGATTTCCAAACCGATGGATCACGGGGGCTAGCCAGTGCACATGGAAATTGCGCCGCGAAGTCAGCCACAGCGAAAAAACAAGTGCTCTCACGCCTCCTTAATGCCGTTAGAACAATCGGTGTTGTCATCAGTCAACCAAAAAGGAAAAAAAAAGTCAGTTTCACCACAAGAGTAAAGTTATATAGGAATGCAATAGAAACAAATTGAAATGTTACATGAAGTGAGGCTAGCAGCTCACTCTTTGGGGTCCGATCCCACGCAAATTTACGAAACGCTGTTTTAAGAGAGTACGGCACTCCAGGAACACTCTTTGCACATTATATTCGCCCTGTGACGGCTGCCCAGACAGTGAGATAACTCGCGCGCCAGCGACAACCGTGCTCGTAAAATCAAAGGTCGCAGTTGCTGTACGTCTTTTACTCTAGTTAAAGACATGTGGGGCGGCATTTATTCTTCTCTGTTGAACCTTTGATGGCCAATGTAAATGACAGGGGGATCTTATCTCATGCGCTTCCGAGTGAAGGAGGTGGGGCGACATGACGGCAACGGTATAAACCCGGTCAAGAAACTGTCAGTATAATTTCTATCGCAATAAAACATAAAGTAAGTCTCCCCAGATTGTAAATATTCTCAAGTGATTCCTTCGCACTTGTTGAGAACTACGCTTGCAAGTGAGCTCAGCGCGACCGCCGTTTGTTAGAAAATTGCACATTGACTCTCTCCTTTGCCCAAATAAAAAAAAATATGGTAGCACTTCTCCTACGAAACCAGTCGGTGGCTATCCGTCATTTTGCCTATTCACAGAACCCCATAGTTATTTTTCAACCATGTCAGTGGCACGGTGCTCATATAACCCGCCCATCGCACCTTGATGGCATATTTGTGAATGCATGGTGTCGCAGGAGCCAGCATTTCAACAGACTTCGTCTCTTTCATGGCTAAATGCACCCCCCCCCCCCCCTCCGTTTCTTGTTTACATTGATCACTGACCACACCCTATTCGTAAAGTCCTTTAAACTAGAGAGAAATGTCGCTTGTTGTTATAGCTCTAGCAATTATTCGGAAGGGTGTAGCATCATTCACAGTGAGTTGTGGCCATTATTCAATGCACCATCTCCGGAAAAAATTCCAAACACTATGTTCTCACTTGCAGTGATTTAATTTTATTCGTCTTCATTCTTCAATCATCGAATTGCTGATTTTCTAATTGTTTTTTTACAAACTTACGACACCTGTCGTATCAGAGAAACGGTATACGCCGTGCTTACCTCGTCATTAACGCATGTAACCATCATTGTCACGCACGCTTCACTTTTGCACATCACGCACATTTTGCGCAATGCAGTGAAACCGGGATGTGACACTTTGGTGCTAAGAACTAGATTAACGGCTTCTTTGGATGCCTTTTTTTTTGTCTCCTTGTTTATATTGCAGCAGCATTTCTAGTTTTCACACTAATAAGAATTCACCGAGAATGTTGACATGTTTCGCTCCAAATTATTACAAACTTCGTTGTGTCTACTCCAAATTCACTTCGAAACACAGTCCTGCTCCAACACACTTTTTTCTGCTCCAAAAATTGCTCCAAGTCGTGAACTGACTGGATCACCACTAGTTATGCCTAAGTCTTCCACTTCTAGGCATCTGAAAACCTCCTGCAAGCACACGGTAAATAGCATTGGGGAGATTGTGTCCCTCTGCCTTAAACCCTTCTTGATTGGTATTCTGTTGCTTTCTTTATGAAGCACTATGGTAGCAGTGGATCCCCTGTAGATTTCTTCGAGGATGTTTATATATGCTTCGTCGACGCCCTGATTTCGCCGTGTCTGCATGAGTGCTGATATTGCTACTGAATCAAACGCCTTCTCGTAATCTATGAAGGCTATGTATAGTGGTTAGTTATATTCTGAGCAATTCTCTATTACCTGATTGATAGTATGAATGTGGTGGATTGTTGAGTAGCCTGTTCGAAATCCTGCTTGTTCCTTTGGTTGATTTAATTATAATGTTTTCTTTACTCTGTTAGCAATTACCTTAGTAAATAGCTTGTATACTACAGAGAGCAAGCTGATCGGCCTGTAATTCTTCAAGTCCTTGTCATCTCCTCAGGGATAGAGAATACAATCTCAGAGGGATAGAGAATACAATCTTGGAGCACTGATTTTGTGGTTCCCAAACGTATGGCTTAGCCACAAGTTAAGTATTGAAGCTGAAATTATAAATAGAATGCATTACAGGTGACAAAAAAAGTAAAAGCAATGCATTACAGCTGGCCTTAACTTCTTCGTACATTAATTGTTCATGACTATTCTGTTCAGTGAGAACATGAATTCAATGGAACCAAAGAAAGACAAGTCCTCAGTCTGACAAAACCATGCATGGCTGGTTCGAAACATGCTCGTGTACTCCACAACGGCCAGCTCTTAAACGCCGCGAGTAAGAATGCGCTGGTGGCGAGGGCACTATTATTTGGCGCCCACAATGAGGGGCCACAGGGAAGAACAGGTTTAGTGGCGAACCCCTCTCCGTACGGATCTCGTCAGTCTTTTGGTGGGAGGAGACAAATGGGAACGAGAAGAAGGGTTCATCTTCATGTAGCACATGGTGGACGTTTTAAGAATTAGCTCCTCGTGAGCCAGAATCCTGGCCTCATCAGCATTGGGAGTTATGGGAGCTTGCGATTGAGGCGCGACTATGTGTGGAAGGAACAAACACTAAAAGTAAAAAACCAAGTTCGATTCAAAGCCGGAGCAATCACTATGTTTTACAATTGACATTTCTTTCCCCCAACAATATTGTGTAATGAGCGAATAATTTATGAGTTTTTTATATTTACAAACAGTCTATTATTGCTCTATTATTACTCAGTGCAGCCGTTGCACTACAGGGAAAGGCACACTTGTAAAATTCGTACGATGATGCACACCCTCACGTGTTTTACTGTGCCGCACTTGCCTGCATTCTCTGCTGAGCGCGAAATCGCGAAGTGTGTTTTATCATTGGTTCAGCTCTTGAATGCGGTGTCCAACGGGCAGTGGAACAATGCGTATTACATTTAATGCCGAGTGCTTTTGTCGGTACCTGCAGAAACCATGTGCTGTGCAAGGATGCAGTACCAACAAATGTATGCCTGTTGACCCATATGTTTTAGATAATAAACAAGAACAATGGTTCGGAATACAGTGCTCGCTGGACTTGCATTCATCAGTATTCCTGCAGCCCAATTTACTTCTTGAGCATGCAGTGCCTACTCTTACTCGCGTTATGGGTGAGCAGATCACCAAGTTATCTATCATGCTACAATTAGATCGCCAAGCAGATCACCAAGTTATCTATCATGCATACGTAGTGGTAATTTATCGGAGCATAATGAAAAAAAAAAACATAACGCAAGTAGTAGTGTCCGCAGACGTTTTTCTGCTTATTACCATTGTGTGTAGTGTAATAAAATTGAGTTATTGTGACCATTGAATTAAAACTTATATGTCAATTTTCGCGTGAATAAGCATCGTTTCTTTCTGTTAAAAATGAAGAACACAAGCATTGTACATGCAAAGAACCTTCATATAGGAAGCAAATAAGCAACGCTGCAGATATGACAGGTATACGCTGTTTGTTGTTTTAAACCATCTGCGGAAGATGCCACGACTGCGAAATAAATGTTTAGAGAAAAGATTCTTTGTAAAACAGTCACAAAGTGAACGGTAGTACACTTGAACTTCACTATCTAGTCATGAGTGGGTATCGAATTTGCTGGCGTTGACTTGAAGTGCACTTGTGGAGTACTCGCCGGCGATTGCCTTAGCGCGAGTCCTTAGCGATCAGGGGCCCAAGAGAAGTAAATTGAGATCAAATTTCGCGCCAGTGCACCCAAAATGACGTCACTTGTTTACCAGCTATTGTATCACATCCGATATATTTTTTGTTCCGCCGGAAGTGTTCCCTCTTCACAGAGATGGTGGTAAGCCCCAAGCAGCTGATCAGCCACCATTTTCTGAACGAATGGGCTTCTATAGAGCCTTCGCTATCAGTTGTATTTACCTTGTGTTCACCCCTACAGTGCTCACCGCTGTACGTCTACAGCCATGTCTCCGGGTTTTGAAGCGATGATTCACGGAAAGTAGGTGGCTCCCTTGGCTGCTGGATAACGGCCGTGGCGGGTGGCGGTAGTCTTTCAAGTCTTATCTGATAGAGGCCCGAACTCGGGATGTAGCCCTCGTTGCCTGCGGCTAGCTCGCTGATCGAGGCTGGCGTCGATGTCTTTTTCACGATTGGAGGGGGGGCGTTCGATACATGGACCGGGAAGCGCCTCCAGCACATGTCACGTGGTCGTGTTGCGGGCGAAGGGAGCAGACTGGATGTTTGGGTTAGACTGTTTACTGGGCCGAACTTATGGCCACGTAAAAGGAAAGTCAGATTACAGCAAGACACTGGCACTGATAGCGGCGAACAGAGCATCGGCCGTCGATCAACTGACAAGCCGCGAAGCGCGGCGGCATTTATACATGTGTCGTGGAATATTTCAGCCTTATCACTGATTTTTACGCAAGCTCCAGAATAATTTTCAGTCTTGCGGGGCAGTCTTAACAGAACGATTCACAATGATCGCGAACTTTCTCGAACAATAATGCGCAGTTTGCGCTGAGCATTCCTGACCCAGGCTTGTGGCGTATACCGAATCAAACAAAAGTGAAAATAAGAAACACGCGTGGCAATATGATTATGAGAGATGCCGTAGTGAAGGGCTTCAAAAATTTCGACCTCCTGGAGTTCTTTAACGTGCACTCAAGTCTAAGCACACAGGCCTCAAGAATTTTTGCCTCCATTGAAAATACAGCCGTTGCGGCTTGGATTCGATTCGCAACCTGCAGGTCAGTAGCCGAGTGCCTTAGTCAGGAGGCCACCGTTACGGGTAATTTATTCGTTGTCACTTTACGCTTCTGAAGGCGTGCAAAAGCTAAGCCTTTTATGTGTACTTTGAATGCTAAGTGGCATCTGGGTCAACATGAAATGCTCATCACTGCACAGCCATCACTTTCCACAGCGGTATGGAACGCATGACATACTTCACTACTTTGCGTAGTGGTACATGTGCAGACGTTTTGCCCCTGTAGCTTTCTCCACATTGCAAAGAAAAGTTGTCTTTATAATTACCACATATTACATGTCACCACAAAATCATCACCACTGATGACATGCATGTTTCTAATGGGACTCGCATTTTCTTTTGGAATGTATGATCTGAAATATTAACATAGTCGCCAGCGACAAGCCCACCAGCAGCACTCAAACATTTTGAGAAAAGAGTAGATATGTTGTTTTTTTTATACCCATACTTTGCCTTTGCAGTCTGTCGCTTACCTGGCTTGGTTTCTCACTATACTTTTAGATCATTTCACAAGACGAAGCCGATCGCAGAGGAAAAGTGTACGACAAGTACATGTGTAGTTTTCTCTTCAACCTTAACAATGGTAAGGGAAAGATTGACTTAATCTTTACATGGATGTTGACATCTACGCTGATGGTTTCTTATAGATTTTGTTGTGGATGCCACTCGTAAAGGCAATAAGATACGGTTTGCCAATCATTCAATCAACCCGAACTGCTATGCCAAAGTGATGATGGTGAATGGAGACCACCGCATTGGCATTTTTGCAAAACGGCACATTCAGTCTGGTGAAGAGTTGTTCTTTGACTACAGGTAAGCATCTTCTGTAGTCTGTGTGTACTTGAATGCTTTCCAAGTTTGCAGAATGCAAACATGATACTTCAGTATCTGAAATTAATCTCATCTCTATTTTTTTTTACAGATATGGGCCTACTGAGCAACTCAAGTTTGTTGGAATTGAAAGAGAACTGGAATTCTTGTGATTTTCACTGCTGGTTTTGTTGATCATTTTGTCTTGACCCTATTGTCTTGACTTTGTAAATAGGTTCTAGACCAAGTCATCTGGCATGCACAATTTTGACAATTTTTCTAGGCATGTTTTGACTCTATATAGTGAGTTTTTCTTCGACAATGGTGTAACTAACGATTTGCATGTTGTAAACACACTTTTTTGCTGTTAGCTGTTTTGCATTCAGTGAAGAATGCTGATTTACTTCATTAATGATGGTCACTTTATAATGTGATCTCCTAACAGGGGTGGAAGTGCTGCGCCATTCTGACCTGCTGCACCTAAAAGGCACTTTGCATATGCAACGCCACACGTAGTCCAGTTTTATCGTCGACCGAACAACTCACGTGGGCTACACAAAAGACCCAACTGCATTCATATTAATTAGTTCGATCATGTCGTATTTCAGTTCAAGCTTGAATTGTGCTCCACGTGAACAGAATACATGAATCTTATTAGGGTGATGTTTGTGTGCATACCTCATCATACAAGTACATGTATGTTTTAACAGCAAAGCTGTTAGTCAAACTATAAAAACGGCAGTGGTGTTGCAAAAAACTTGCCACACCGTTAGCGAGCAACCGCCAGGCACAGCACACTCTTTACAATGGATAACATTGAACCATATAAACTGAATGAAAAAAATAAAAATCTGTTTCACCGGCAAAGCAATGATTGCATTAGCAACAATTTGTAATGTTCTTATGGTAATGCCGCACGCGCTCCTTTCGATTTTTGTTACCGCACCATTTCGCATATAACGTTGCTTTGCGCAAACCGTGACCGAATGACTGGGAACCAACTAGATAATTTGAGGACCTTCCGATGAGATTACAAAGCGCGCACATTAGAGTTTGTTCTGAAACTCACGTGGTGGCTAGTGACAACGCTAGAATCTTCGGTGGCGCATGTATAAATGCCGAAGCACTTCGCTACTTGGCAGATTATCAACGCTCTGGTTTGCTGCTATCAATCTATAACGTGTATTGAGTGTAGAGTGACATTTCGTTTTCCGAGCTCAGGTTTGCCTAAATAAAAAAACTGGCAGATCCCACGTACAATCGGAATCGATGATATGCGAAGCACGAATGAGGAAGGTTGATATGTCGCATTAAAATCAGCGCAACATTACGAGGCAGACGCAAATTACGCCGTACATGACTTTCATGTTGTGATTATCTTGTTTGTGCCTAGTATTTGTGTTTATCGTCCATTCACACTACGTAACACCAAGCTTGGTATTATGTTGCCACGATTATCATGTTTGGACGCGTCATTTACCTTCCTCATCTATTCATGTCACGTGATACCAAATTTGGTATATGGGAAGCTAGCAAAACAGTTGCTAGTGCATCATGAGTGTCGTATGTAGTCATGATCTTACATGACATGCATGTCATGATTATCATGTTTGCACCAGTCGTATACCTTTGTCATCCATTCACATCACGAAATACCAGATTTGATATAGGTGAAGCTAGCGAAACGACCGCGAGTGCATCATAAGCTTGGAATGCAGTCTTGTTCCTAAGTGACATGCATGTCATGATTATCTTGTTTGCGCCCATCACACAGCTTCTTCATCCATTCACATAACGTAATACGTGATTTGGTTCATGTGGAGCTAGTGAAACGACTGCGAGCACATCATGAGCTTGGCATGTAGTCATGTTCCTGAGTGAAATGTATGTCATGATTATCAGGTTTGCACCAGTCATATATCTTCGTCATTCATTCACATCACGTATACCAAACTTGGTATACGTGAAGCAAGTGAAACGATCGTGAACACATCATGAGTGTGCATGTAGTCATGCTCTTACATGGCACGCATGTCATGATTATCATGTGTGCAGCAGTCGTATACCTTCGTCATCCACTCACATCACGTAATACCAAATTTGGTATATGTGAAGTTAGCGAAACAACCTCAAGTGCATCATGAGCGTGGCATGTAGTCATGTTTTACATGACACGCATGTCATGATTATCTTGTGTGCGCCCATCACATAGCTTCTTCATCCATTCACATCACGTAATATACAAAATTTGGTATGTGAAGCTAGCGAAACGACCGCGAGCGCATCATGAGCTTGGCGTGTAGCCGTGTTCCTAAGTGACATGCATGTCATGATTATCATGTTGGCACCAGTCATATACCTTCATCATTCATTCCAACACGTATACCAAACTTGGTATAATTGAAGCTAGCGAAACAGCCGTGAGTGCATCATGAGCGTGCATGTAGTCATGTTCTTTCATGACACGCATCTCGTGATTATCATGTGTGCAGCAGTGATATACCTTTGTCATCCATTGACGTCACATAATACGAGACTCGATATATATGAAGCTAGTGAAACAACTGCGAGTGCATCATGAGCGTGGCATGTAGTCATGTTTTTACATGGCAAGCATGTCATTATTAACATGTGTGCAGCAGTAATATACCTTCGTCATCCATTCACGTCACACAATACCAAATTTGGTTTATGTGAAGTTAGCGAAACAACTGCAAGTGCACAATGATCGTGGCATTTAGTCATGACTTACATGACACATAATGATTTTCATGTGAAGGCCTGTTATGTTTGCCATGCAGTCATGTTGTACCATACCAGTTTTGCAATATGTCATGTGAACGAAACCACCACAGGAGCAGCAAGACCATGACATCTAATTCATGACATACATGTCATGGTTTTCATGTTATGACTAGTTAGTCACTTATACTCGTCCTACAGACATGTTATGCCATACCAATTTTGGTATAGATCCCATTATCCAAACGGTCAGGCGAGCTAAATGTTGTAGGCGGCTAGCTAAATGGATGGATGGACGGATGCGGTCAAAGTCGCCTACGTTTAGTAAGAAATGCTTCGCATTTGAAAGTTCACAAAAAATCAGCGGCTGCTGCCTTCGTCAACATCACGACCCCTTGACGATACGAAGGCCGACAGTTAACTCTTTGGGATACGACATCGCGATATTCTACGAAACGCTAGTGTAAGAGAATAAGTACGGCCGCTCCAGGGAGAAAAGACGGGCGGCATATTTCTTTTCTGCTTGAGCATTTGACACGCAGTGGGATGCTATCGCGTGTGCCCTCCGGGCGTTTGAGATTTAATATCTTTTTGAGATTTAATATCATTTAATATCTGCTTTAGCAGCGCTTATCACACCAGCTTGCGTAATTTTACCCGCGTGTATAACGTATGATGCGCAGAGAATGTGAGCAACTTGTAGTTTACGCGGAACATCACGGCGAAAACACGTGGAGTGACCATATAATTTGTATCGTAATAAAAAACTTTTCACTTCATTGCCTAGTAATGGCGCGGCTAGCTTTCTTTAAAATTTATTTTTATTAAGCCTTATTGCATAGCCGCTTGATAAACGTTTTTTTTTATCCAGCGGCTTGTACTTATTGGTTTAGTATGAAGATAACTTTTATATCAGTCTTCATTTGCTGTTCATGTTGGATGTGCTGTTTTTAATTACATGTTAACAATGCAACATTTTAACATCAAATATTTTCAATCGTTTGAGGTGTATTAGCTGTACAGAGTGTCACTTATATTTTTTTTTTTAGTTGCTGTGCTTTCAGCTTCGATATTGTAAGGTTTATTATATATCAATTTGGGTCTGGTCGCTTCATTAGCATTGCATGCTTAGTCAAAACTCCTGAATTTTTTGTGTTTACCAAAAGCAAAAGTTCTAATTAACAGTGATTTGTGACCCGAGAAATCTGTTCCAAAACACGCCTTCTGGTGCTCCAGAGCTGCTCCAAAAAACTGCAGCCTGCTTCCGCCCCTGCTTAACTCCCAATGCGTGTGCACTCTCATTTTGCACCTACTGTGCTCTCCACTAGAATAACTTAGAATGCAGCTGCCAAAAATACCCAGTAGACAAGCTTGGTAAGGGTGTTTTTTTTTTTTTTACCAAAAGACTGAGGCCCATTCGAAACAACCCTACCGGATCTCTGTTTCATACGTGCCGGGAATCAGCGAGCAGTTGTCCAGGGTACAAGGAAAAGAGGGCATTCAGATGGCGCACAAACCCGTCTCAACAATCGGGCGATTCTTGCCGCGACCAAAAGACGACTTTTCTCTTCTTTTAAGATCACTTCCCCTCTCGCTGGATTCCGTGCCGACCGGTTGTGCCCTCGCGATCTCCGACGACAGTACAGTTCTGGACAGCGTAGCTCTGGCCTACTGGATTTAGCCCTATGCTATCTCCTGTTGCCGACAAGAGCTCTCGCCAGTGGTGCCCTGTCCTCGGACTCCTGCGTCCGTGTTTCATCTTCCTATATTCTCTTTACTTCCGTCGTCGCTCGCTGTCCTTGCGCATCTCTCCCCCCCCCCCTCTCTCTCTCTCTCTCTCTCTCTCTCTCTCTCTCTATATATATATATATATATATATATATATATATATATATATATACTTTTAATGCTATCCTTTTTAATCCTTACTCCCTCCTTACACCCATTCTTTGTGAGTTACTGTTGAGGTGTCCCACCAGATGCAGACAGTTACGGGGCTCACTTTTCTTTTCCCTTTTATAACCACATAACCAAAAGATCGTCTGTCGAAATAGAGGTTCCCCGGGCTAGTCTACGAAATTCCGTGCACAGACTGTCTCGCCTCCTACATCGGTGAGACAAAAAACATCCCCGAAAGGATACGACAGCATCGAAGCGATGTGCGTAACCTCAACGCCGTACGAAATGCGCTCGCTGAACACAGCGAAAAGATGGACCACCGCATCAATTTCGACGACGCCCGGGTATTCGACAAGAAGTGTAGCCACACAAAAAAAGTTTTTAGAGTACTGGCACATACAAACAAGTCCTGGAAATGTTAACCGCTGCACTAGAATCTTACCTAGTGTATACATGCACGGTCTACAGAACCAGTTTAGAAAACACAGCAACAACGGTGTAAAGAAGGACGATGGAGAGGGCGACACCGCCAAGAAAA